TTTTGGTTTTTTTTTTTTTTTTTTTTTTTTTGTCTTATTGGATTTTCTGTTTGTTTCCATTTATTTATTTGGGTGGGGAAGAAATATAAAAGTTCAGTTGAGTGGGTAGGAACATGGGGAGCATCTGTGAGGATTGGGGGAGAAAGAAACGCTCAAATTTTAAACAATCAGTCAATAAATAAGCCGCTCAAATGAATAAAAGGAAAAAAATTCCAACTTTACAAATTGATAGTAACTTACACAGAACCTAATTTACAATGATAGAAAGTAGACACACGCTTGCCTGGGTTGCGACAAGCTGAGCTATGGACTGCAGAAATGTACAAAGGGGAATCTGGGGACGACCAGATGTCATGCACCTTGACTAAACTGCTGGTGACATGAGTGCATCTGCTTGTCAAAGTTCATCGAACTACATGCTTAAACTTGATGCACCCTACTGTGTGGAAGCTAACGACACTGTTGACTTAAAGTTGACATAAGGAAATAACTCCAGCCCGTTCCATCAGCACAAGCCATTTCACCTTAGGGTGCAGCTCTGACACATCCAGCATTTACCGAACAACTGCTGAGAATCTACTTTAAATTTTTTTATTATTTCTTATTTATTACATTTTATTCACTTTGTATCCTGGCTGTTGCCCCCTTTCTCATCTCCTCCCAATCCCACTCTCTCTTCCTCTTCTCCTCCTATGCCTTTTCTCTAGTCCATTGATAGGGGAAGAGGTCCTCTTCTTCCTTCTGACTCTAGCTTATCACTGGGCCTTGGGAGCCCTGCAGAGACTGACACCCCAATCAAGGACAATGCATGGAGATAGGCCCCCTGCACAGATGTAGCCCATACACTCAGTGTCCAAATGGGTACCCTAATAAGGGGAACAGGGGCTGTCTCTGACATGAACTCAGTGGCTGCCTCTTTGATCACCTCCCCCTGATTGGGGAGCAGCCTTACCAGGCCACAGAGGAAATTGATACAGTCAGCCCTGATGAGAAACTACTTTTTATACAGAGCATCTTTCTCATAATGAACATCAGTGTTCTTCATCTCCATGGAACTTACAATGATGAGTCAGCCATTGAAACCAGTCACCAAGGTTCGGGAGCTTATGGATAGATCACGTGACCCTTATCTTTCACAGCATTCCTGAGACTCTTTCTATCTTAATTTAAAGTGAAGAAAGTAATAAATAAATAAATTAATTAAAAAATTTTTTCTGAGAGTGATCCTACTGCGTGCAAGAAAATGAGGACTGGAGTGCCATGTGACTTCACCACAGTCCTATAGCTGGTCTAAGGAGATGGTCTGCATAACAGCTCCGGATATTTTGCTCTAAGCCCATCTCGTAGGTGGCACGACATAGTCATAGTCTTTTTCTCATGGACCTTCCCTTTGTAGATTGTGTCAAGAAGGTGGAGCTGTCAAATAATGTGGCTCAGGGAATTTGAAAAGGTAATTTAAATGCTCAAATTTCGTGGAAAAGTGCTTGTTAACTGTTTAAAAAAAAAAGATTTCTTTATTCTCTTTTTAAGCACCCGATAGCAATGGTTCAGGGAAATCCAAGACTCTCTGAATGACAAATCCCAAGAGTTTGCAAAGGCAAAGAGCAGTGTGTGCATAGTTGAAGAAACACACAGTAATGGCTTGGACAATTACTTCATGTTGGTGCTGAAAGACATGGGCAGGTTCTTGAAAGAGCTGGATGAAGCCTGAATGATCCTGCTGATCATTGCTGTGGCCATGTAAGGATGCCACGACTTGGTTAGAATGCCTTAGAGACAGAGGGCTTAAAGGTTTTCCAGTTGTTTTAGGTGGGGAAGGTTAGATTTTTTTTTTTTTTACAAGCACAGGAGAAGCACTAAGAAGGGGAAAAAGAAACGAGTGTGGCTCTGTGTGGGAATCCAGTGTATGTGGTGTGAGTTTCTGAGCACAAGTGAAGTTGTTTCCGTGCACGTGTACAGAAACTAACTTCAAGGGCTTAAATATAGAGATCTGTTATTTTCAGAGAAAAGTTATATTCTGAGACATAATACCTACTTTAAAGACTCATTAACCTAAAATAATTTGTGTAATGTATGTGCCATACAAATCTAACTTTTGATTTGTCCCAAAGATAACAAAAGATAGCAAAATTTTTTAAAATGTTACTCTTGCATAAAAATTAACAAGAGCAAATTAAAACTTGAATACTGTATAAAATGTATTTTCTTTCTGTTTGTATATTCTTATTAAAATCTGGAAGCTTTTTCAGACTTCAAAAATTATTTCATACAAAGGAGACAGAGTACTGAACGATGCTTGTAGTTTCAGGATTGCTCATTGTAAGATCAGAATAAATTTAAAATGCATTGTTTGAGGAAGTCTGTATTGTGTGAAGGGATAAATATGAGTTCACTGTATAACTCTGAATCCATTGTCTTTATCGTACTTCAGAAAGACACTGAGAATTTTCAATAGAAATATTTTGTCACTGAATGAAGAACATTTTAAAAGTGGGAACTACAAAGGAATTATATGTACATGTGCATGTGTGTGTGTGAGTGTCTGTGGGGCATTATGTACACCTAAGTGTGGTATTGGTGAAGATCAGAAGAGGGTATGTTATACAAGAAGAAGGTGCCTGACCTTTTTTAGCTGGAGTTACAGGCAGTTATGAGGTGCCTTTGGTAAGTGCTAGGAGCTGAGCCTCAGTCTCCTGTAAAAGCAGTATGGGCCTTAACTTTTCTTTTGCGGTGGAAAAAGTATATTTTTAGAATTAATCAGCTGACTAAGTTTAGATGATCCCAGTCTTGCTGGCAACATCCAGAGCATCATAATCAGGAGCCTTCTTCTCTCTGTCAGGCCTGATCAGGGTATTAACTTTGGCCATATCAATTCCAGACATATCAATTCCATAGAATTTCTTCATGCCCTGTTTGATCTGTGCTTGTTAGCCTTGACATCACAATGAAAACAAGTGTGTTCTTGTCCTCTATCTTCTTCATGGCTGACTTGCTGGTCAGGGGGATTGATGGTAACATAGTGGTGAAGTTTGTTTCTCCTGGGTGCACTCTTTTGAGGGTATTTGGGCTGCCTCTGGAGCCGCAGGGTCTGAGGCTGCCACAAGGTGGGTGACGGGTGGATCTTCTTTTGTGGCTGTGGATGCCTTTCAGGGTTGCCTTGTTGGCTTTCAAGGCCTCTGCTTTGCCTTAGGCTTTGGGAGGGGAAGGAGCTTCCTTCTTTACTTTCAGTACCATCTTGGCTAAGCCTTTAACTTTTGAACCATCTGTCCAGCCTCATAGCTAACTTTTAAAGACAGCAATCACCCAAGATTTTTGCTTTCCTTCAAATATAGCACATGAAAAGAAGCTACTTATAGGCTTCCTGTGTGACTGTGGCTTCTATGCATTGGTGCATTCCAGCTCAAAATGTAAGGTCTTAGGACTTTAAGTTAGTTCTGTGTCTAAGCGCCAAAGTTAACAGGAGAACCTTGACATTCTTGGGAAGATCAGACTGCGTTGGACGGTATTTGCAGTCCAAGTCTGGGCCTAGCATTACTTCATCTCCATGAAGTGGATCCTGGAAAAATTGCTGATTGTTCATTGGTCACATTACCCTGAAGGAGGATCATGCGTCTTTCAGAGGACAGTGTGGTATACAGAAAATACCAAACATCCCAGCTTGTAATATTCAACACACCTCAATATAGGACATAAGAACACCGCGGG